TCTGGTTTATGGGGCCCTTTCTATCTCTTGAGCCTAATACTTTCCTTGTGTCTTTGGTGTTCTTCATTCTCCTTTACTCCAGGTGGTTGGGACCAATTGATGCATCTTAGATGGCTGCTTGCAAGCTTTTAAGACCCCAGACACCACTCACCGAAGTAGGATGCAGAACATTTTCTTAATAAACTTTGTTATGCCAATTGACTTAGATGTCCCCTGAAAGCATGGTCCCCAGACTGCCACCACTGCTACTCTGTCCCTCAAAGTGTTTGATTGTATTCAGGAAACTTCTTAGCTGTGGTTTAGTCCGGTTGTGCTGACTTCCTCTGTAGTGTGTGCTGTCCTTCCCTTCACCTAAGATAATTCTTGTCTACTGTCTAGTTAGGAAATAACCCTCACCCTCTCTCCACCTTGTAACCATCAAAGAATGTTTTCTTCTGTGTTTAAACCTTTTCTTGAGTTCTTATAATAGTGGTATTATACAATATTTGTCTTTCTGTGACTGACTAAATTCACTCAGCATAATGCCCTACAGATTACTCCATGTTATGTTTCATGGATTTGTCATTGTTCTTTATAGTTGCATAGTATTCCATTGTGTGGATATACCATAATTTGTTTATCCATTTGTCCGTTCATGGGCATCTAGATTGTTTCTATTTTTTTGCTATTGTGAACAGTGCTGCAATGAACATGGGTGTGCATATATTATTCGTGTGATGGCTCTTATTTCTCTAGGATATATTCCAAGGAGCAGGATTGCTGGATTGTATGGTACTTCTAATTCTCGCTTTTTAAGGAAGTGCCAAATTGATTTCCAAAGTGGTTGTACCATTTTACATTCTCACCAACAGTGTATAAGTGTTCCAGTCTCTCCACAACCTCTCCAACATTTTTTATTTTGTGTTTGTTGGATTAATGTTAGCCTTGTTGAAGTGAGATGGTGTCTCATTGTAGTTTTGTTTTGCATTTCTCTAATGGGTAATGATCGTGAGCATTTCTCCATGTGTCTGTTAGCCACCTGAATGTCTTCTTTGGTGAAGTGCCTGCTCATATCCTTCACCCATTTTTTTAATTGGGTTACTTGTCTTTTTGCTGTTGAGGTTTTGCAGTATCTTTTAGAGTTTAGAGATTAGACGCTGATTGGATTTGTTGGAGCCAAAAATTTTTTCCCAGTCTGTGGGTTGTCTTTTTACTGTTTTGGTGAAGCCTTTTGATGAGCACAAGTGTTTGATTTTTAGGAGTTCCCAGTTATCTTGTTTCTCTTCTGGTGCTTGTGCATTGTTACTTATGGTTCGTATTCTGTTTATGCCATGTATTAGGGCTCCTAGCATTGTCCTTATTTTTTCTTCCATGATCTTTATTGTTTTCGATTTGATATTTAGGTCTTTGATCCATTTTGAGTTAGTTTTTCTGCATGGTGCAAGGTGTGGGTCTTGTTTCAGTTTTTCGCAGATGGATATCCAGTTATGCCGGCACCTTTTGTTAAAGAGACTGTCTTTTCCCCAATTAACGGACTCTGAGCCTTTGTCAAATACCAGCTGCTCATAGGTGGATGAATTTATGTCTGGATTCTCAATTCGGTTCCATTGGTCTATATATCTGTTGTTGTACCAGTACCAGGCTGTTTTGACTACCATGGCAGTACAGCAGGTTCTAAAATCAAGTAGTGTGAGGCCTCCCACCTTGTTCTTCTTCTTGAGTGATGCTTTACTTATTTGAGGCCTCTTCCCTTTCCATATGAAGTTGGTGATTTGTTTCCTTATCTCATTAAAAAGTGCCATTGGAATTTGGGTAGGGATTGCATTGTATCTGCAGATCGCTTTGGGTAGAATTGACATTTTCACTATGTTGAGTCTTCCTATCCACGAGCAAGGTATGTTTTTCCACTTAATGCAGGTCTCTTTTAGTTTCTTGCAGTAGTGTCTTGTAGTTTTCATCGTATAGCTCTTTTACATCTCTGGTTAGGTTTATTCCTAAGTATTTTATCTTCTTGGGGGCTATCATAAATGATACTGATTTGGTGATTTCCTGTTTGAAGTTCTCTTTGTTGGTGCAAAGGAATCCAACTGATTTTCGTATGTTTATCTTGTATCCTGAAACTTTGCTGAAATCTATCAGTTCCAGTAGTTTTCTTGTGGATTCTTTGGGGTTTTCTGTGTATAAGATCATATCATCTGTAAATACAGATACTTTTACTTCTTTCCTACCAATTTGGATGTTCTTTATTTCTTTTTCTAGCCTAATTGCTCTGGCTAGCACCTCCAGCACAATGTTGAATAAGAGTGGTGATAAAGTTCATCCTTATCTGGTTCCTGTTCTCAAGGGGAATGCTTTCAAAGTCTCTCCATTTAGGATGATGTTGGCTGTTGCCTTTGTATAGATACTCTTACTTATATTGAGGAATTTCCCTTTATTCCTATTTTTTTTTATCATGTTTTTATCATGAATGGGTGTTGGACTTTGTCAAATGCCTTTTCTGCATTGATTGATAAGATCTTATGGTTCTTGTCTTTTGTTTTATTTATGTGATGGATTACGTTGATTGTTTTTCTGTTGAACCATCCCTGAATACCTGTATAAATCCCACTTGATCATGGTGATTTATTTTTTTGATAGTTGCTGAATTCTATTGGCTAGAATTTTGTTGAGGATTTTTGCGTCAATGTTCATGAGGGATATTCGTCTGTAATTTTCTTTTTTGTAGTGTTTTTACCTGGTTTTGGTATCAGGGTTATGCTGGCTTCATAGAATGAGT